GTGATTCCCATTTTCGTCTTCGAAAGAAAGTGCAACTAAACTGGGCAATGTTTACTAAGACAATTTTTAGACTTGCGACATGAGAGCTTTTAAAATACAATATAGCCAGAAATCCTTTCGACTGCCTTGCGGTAATAATAGGAAAAAAAAATAGGAGATACTCCAGTCCGTCCCTCGGAGTGTTCTACATGAAAATTGAGGCAGAGCTATACAGTTAAGTTTTCTGGACTATCCATGTACAGGCAGTTGAGGAATTCTAGAGTCCCGCCTTCTTCTTGTCCTGTATTTCAGAAGTTGTGTATACAAATCATACTAACATTTTAAAAGCTTTTATAAATTATGTAACAACATTAATCAAAGATTAAATATTAAATCATCGAATTTTATTCTCCTTAATGAGCGCCATATTTTATTGTAGTCATAGAACTTGTTACTAACCTTGATATGTCACCAATACCTTAACGGGAATCCTACCCGACATTTTATATTTTTTAGCTGCGTGTGTTAATTACACACAAAATTGACACCGTGGGTTTCTGCATTGAAACTGTTATATAGAACGACAAAAATATGTAAAACTGTATTAAAGTTCAGCTGAATTATTGTCTTCTAGTTTAAATGACGAAAATTAGGGATTTTTTAAACTATAATTTGTATGGAATTTAATATAGAATTAGTTATATGTAATCCTGTAAATAAGTTTAGTCCTGTATATGTAAGTATATGTAGTTAGATGTACTCCTGTAAATATGAATTAACATAAAGTGAGCAGAAGAGAGAAGTAAACTTGGCGACTTGCAGTTAAATGGAGTTTAACTTGACTTTCACTCAGTTAGTATTAGCAAAAGTTAATATGATAATTGTCCCTTCAGATTAGTGAGCTTGGGGAATTTTATCCGCAGTAGTATGAGTTATTCATGAGACTGAATTGCTCGTTTCAAAACATTTAAGTTTACCAATGCAGAAGTACTCTTAGCTTGCAATAAATGTTTCAGGTATTGCTAAAATATTGGGTTGGCAATAAACTAATTTCGGTTTGCACAAATTGATAACGTTATGTTCTTTTTGTTATTCTACTGTCAATCTTAACTTATTTTCTTTTGAGATTTGGGAACTGACAGTTTTAAGTTCCTATAAAATTGCTTTCCATATATTTTTGTTTGAAACTCTTAATTTAGGGCAGTTTTAACATGGGATGAAGAAACAAACATTTTCGACATACCTTTTCATTTTCATAAAGTCAAAAAAGCGGCTGAAACTCACAAAACGTTTATAGTGTTGTTTGTTTAACAAAGCTCGTATATGAGAGTTGGTTAAAAAAATGTCATTCTAGAGATTTTCCTCTTGAAGATGACTAACTTTCTGTCCGATCTTCTGAAGATACAATGATGGTAAAATTAAAGCCATAATTGAATCGAGTCGTGATATAACTGTGCGAGAGATTTCAAAAATGTTAATTGTATCACACACAACAATTTGCGAATCACATAAGGTCTCTTGAACTCGGTTAGAAGCTCAATATTTGAGTTCCTCATGAGTTGAAAGAAATTCGCTTGACACAGCGAATCAATATTTGCGATAAGCATTTCAAACGTAATGAGATCGACTTTTTTTTGAAGCGAATTATACTTGATCATGAAAAGTGGATCGACTGCAATGACATTAATTGAAAAAGAATTGGTACAAGCATGATTAATCAACACAAATCATATCGAAAGCTAAACTGCATCAGGAAAAAGATCATACTAGCAGTTTGGTGGGATTACAAAGGTGTTGCGTATTTTGAGCTGCTTCCAAGCAGCCAAAAGAGCAAATCACTACTGCCAACAACAAATGAAATTGGAAGAATCAATCAAAAAGAAAAATTAGACTTCGCAAATCGCAAAGGAATCGTTTTCCACAGACAACGTAAGGTCTCCCGCAACTTAGCAACACTTACGGTATTATTAGAGTTTGTTTTTGAGAAGTGATGTCGCATTCTCCATATAGCTCCGATCTTGTACATCGGATTATCATTTATTTTGAAATTTACAAACCTTATTAAATGGCAAAATTTGAGCACCAACGTTGACCTTAAATCAAACTTTCTTGAGTTTTTTGTTGATAATAACCAGAAGTTTTATGAACGCAAAATCATGAAGTTACCAAACCGATGGCTAAAAATCATCGAACAGAAGATATTTGCTGATTAAAGCATATTTTCTGTATAGAAAAAATTAAGTTTTATTTCACACTAGAAAAACGAAATTACTTTCTTGCCAAGCCGATATGTAAGTTTATCTGTTTAGTAATTAAGTAGATTGCTAAAATGGCAATCACTCGTCCTTAACACTTCAGGCTTGCTACAATTAACAGCAGAATTAAATGTATATGTTTAGATTAAGATCTACTCTCTATACGATAAATGATTTCGCGAAATATTATAAATGAGTTATATAATAGTGAGAGTAATTAATAGTGTATAACATACTCTGAATTATAATATATTATCTGTAATAGTGTGTTATAATATATTATGTGTAATAGTGTGTTTTAATATATTGTTATATATAGCGGTAAGTTCAACTAATATAATTAATAGTGTTTTATAATTACTCAATACTATTTTGAAGCTCATACACTGATACATCATTGAAAAGTTCATGAGACATTTTTAAACTATATTTGAACAGAACATCACACTTTAGAAACATTATTTTTCTATTTGCTAAGAATCAGCTGTGCGTTTTCACTAAGCAAATCAGTAAAGCATAATTAATTTTAAGGGAAAATTTTGGATGTTCAACTTCTTTTTCAGTCAGATTTTTCTAAATAACCTGTGTCTCTAAAATTTGTAAATGCATTCTAAAGTACTTTTTTCATTTATAATATTTAGTTTGGAGAAACAATAAATCTCATGCAAAAATTTCAACACGAAAACAGTAGTTTTTAGATTTTTAACTTTTTATTGTCATTTTCTTGAATTTTTTTATACATAAAGAAAAGCAATAAATAAGGGGGCGGAATAGCAGAAGAAAGAACGTTTCTGAGGCCGGGTCATCTTGTCCGAGAGCTGAAATCAAAAAGAAAACCGTACAGAGAAAAAAGGAAGAATTAGATTATATTACCATTAATATATAAATAATGATTTTTCAATGCGACACTAATATTCAAATACAAAAATTAGACGTTTTTTCTTTTGTTTAAGGAATAAATAATTACTCTTCCTTTAAACTTCCAAAGGCTTTTGATGCATTAGTATTTTCTTTATGACAAGTTCAAATCCGTTATCATTTTAGATAAATCAAGCCATCATTTTAAGGATAGATATGTCTTAAGGCTTGCGATCGTATTTCTTTCATAGATGACGCTACAGTTGCTACTTCTTTTGTTATTTGTTTACTTTTCTTTATGTATTTAATTAGCAGAATTTGAGCAACAGCCTCACAATTAACTTTTCTCCTTGAACACACATAATCTGTGTCAGAATGTTTTGAAATACATATAGATTTTCTTCAAATTAAATCAGCTTGAGATAGAATTTTGCCTTAATTTTAAGTTTTGTGCCTTAATTTTAAAATACGGAGGTGGAAATTATTAGATTTATAGCTTCATAGGGATGTTTTGGTAATACTCAATGCCGTTTTGTAAAACCTAGATGATTTTTATTTCCCATTAAATCAATACGGTTAATAAAATAGTAATTTATAAATAATAGTAACTTCTAACAACCTATTTATTTTTCCTAGATCACTGAAGATATATTTTAAATTTATTACAAATTTACTTTTTTCGCATCTTGCATAAATTTGACAGGCGAAAAGAATTTAATTTGAACTGTTCTTAAGATTCCGTGATTCTAAAAGTAGCAACTTTCATGAAAATATTTTCCTGATATCATCGTTAATCGAAAAAAACGTAAAAGTCATTTAAAGTTTATAAAGTAAAATCATCGGGCTTTAGGAGCGAACTTATTATTTTTTTATGCCTTTTACATTTTGAAAATATCTACTGGAATTTACATCTGTTAATAACAAAAATTGTTTTTTGAAGATTACTGTGTCTCGTACGTTTTCTTATTTTTTAATATTTTAGGCTAACAGTCACAAAATGAATTTTGATGCAAGTACGTTCATCTCGTGCTAGAACTTTCAAAGATCAAGAACTACTTTGTCAAAATACTTAAAGGTGCATGTCTAGGGTAGTTGCACAATACGGTCTATCATGAAGGGTTGGGGAATTCAAACTGACCTGTTTAGTATTTGTATGCTGGTCCATGGAGGTAGCTCTGTTGGTGTCCGCTGTTGTGGCGTCCGTAGGCAGAACTGTCATGGGCACGAACACCGTGGGCTTGAGCTCCGTATCTGTCATGGGCTCCATGTCTGTCATGTCCGGCCTGAGCATAAGCACCTTGGTTGTGGTGGGCTTGTCTGTCATGGACTCCGTATTTGGCAGCGTGTGCACCATGGTCAGCCAAGACGGCGTGGTGTCCGGCCTTCTTGTCATAGTGGTAAGCCTTTTCGTATCCAGCACCCTTATCTTGAGCGTAAGCACCAACGTTGCGGTATTTGCCATAGTTGGAGGCTGTTGAACATATGACAAAATCATTTTTTAAATTCATGTATTTTCGTCTGATGGGAGTGTAAAATATTATTCTGAGTTATTATCAGATTAAGGCTATACGTTGCTGTGCCTTCAGACTATGTGTTTAGAATCATGTAATTATGATTATAAATGATACATCTAGTTTTAAAATATTGTACATTGAAATGATAATGGAATAATGAATTATAAAGAATAACCTTGCATCTTAGTTTAAAAATTAGCGTTATCTCCTCGTCGAAGAGCTCCTACACTATTATTCTTGACAATCAGCTGAATACTTTGCAATGCTTCTACACTATTATACGCAGTATGGGAAACCTTCGATCTCCGGACATTACGATATGTGATTTCTCTCTTTGCGTTAAATAGCCAGCTTTCAGACTTTTACTGCCGGGAACTTAAAAATTGAGCAAGTATTGTATTATGGATACTAATACGTTTATAAGCGTTTATGGATACTAATAACGGAATAGGGGAACGAATTCCAATAACTCATAGACGTGTGTCGTATGGACAGAAAGTGGCACGTTGAAACTCTGTGACAATATGAATAAAATGGTGAATAGTTAGCTTTCATGCAAGTTTAGTGATAAAAGTCTTTTAAAATGATCAGTACAGTTTGAAATGTAGTTAATAAATACAAGAAACGCTTTTAAATTACAAGCATGTGTAGACTGAATACATTAACATTATTTTTTAGGAAAGAGGAAATTTCAGACTATTGTTAGACCAAAATGTTATAGCTCCTTTTCTTTATTTTTCTTATTTGGACCACAGAAATAAATTATTGTTTAAACTTGAGCACGTAACTGAGTTTCATTATTTTCTTCTTTCAGGAAACAAATATTTTCATAAACCAGGCATATGATGGATTTAAATTCCAACAAATATATTTTCTCAGCTTTAAGCAGTCTTCTATCATTTTAACGACATTCAAGGTATATTTAATCATTCATTTGTTCTAGTTTTACAAAGGAATAGATTGTTCTTTAATTTGAGCTTCTAGTAAGCGATCTTTGACTAGAATTAAGTTAAGAATTTTTGTTTTCTATTTGCATTTGAATAGATTATGCTTTACATTTAAGTTCCTCCCACGAAATATATTTGTAAAATATTATGAGAAAAGCAGATTTTAATCGCAAACTTTAAGGAATTAAGATCCAAATGTACGCATATTAGTTGAAATTAACTGTTTTCTTATGACAGATGGAAATTTGAAAAAATTAAATATGTAGAACTAAGTACACTCATGCTCCCAAAATTAGAAACTTTTTAAATCTTTTTCAGACTAAAAGGGAACTAATCCAGGTTAAAGTAAAACGTAATTTTATAATTTTACTATTTCGTGACTGAGATAATTAGCACCTTCAGTACACCACTACAGAATTTGGCAAATTGTATGCCAGCGTACAGCATAGCTTGTAAAATACTTCTATAAAGAACTTCCTACCGTGTGTTGCTTAAATGCGTGCTATCTAGTTTGTGTATCATTACTGCAACTCTTCCTAGATAATTCGAAGAGCTTTGCAGATGCCAGATATAAGCGACGCCGGTCATAAAAGGATTAAAAGCATTCTTAACTAAAGGTGCAACTGTTTACCCATAAATTATTATTATTTAAAAGAGAAAAGAATAGTTTCTCGATACAGAATAGTTAATCAATAGAGAAGCCGTTTTATGATGCTGTTAAAAACTAGTTCCAAGGCATGCTTAAAAATGCTTGAATTCATATTGGAAGAAGCTTGTTAAGTAGAATAAAGAACGAAAACGGACATTTCTGGTTTTATAATGTCCTACTTGTTAGTAGTCCTTAAAGCTATTTGCTTTTTTCTTTAGAGAGAGAGAATTAAAATAATTTTAATTAAATTTTTATTCAGCTTTCAGAAATTTATAAAAAATTCATCATAGCATATTAATATTAGGGTATTTAAGGGGACTCATACACCTTAAAACCCATAAGATGTTCGAATAGGTGACTGTTGCAAGAATTGGAATAACTATTTTTTTAAAAGCAATTACTACCACTTTTTACAGCTGACTACATAATATATTATCTGCTTTCGGAAACATTAAATCAGAAAGTTTTGTGGTGCCACCATATTTTTATAGAGTATCAAAATTTAATCCGTAAAATAAGACAGGTGTAGTTGATAATCCGCTTTTTTTTTGACATGTTTAGTTTGGTTGTGTCTGGGGAAACAGTGTAGGAGCGATTTTGTATTGGGAGTGGGGCTCTTCTGTTCGTAGCTCGGGGGGAGAAGTAGGACGGCGAGTTGGTGTGCTGGGGCGGGCTACGTTAGGTCGATTGTGTAGAAGGGGTGGGCCACCGTGGTGGGACGGGGGGCCGATGTTGGGGTGCGGGGAGGCGGGGGACAGTCACAGGGGAAAACGCGTAGCTGGCTCACAAGGGATAGGCCAGGATGGACGAGAGAGATGGCATTTTGGATACAGGGGTGTTTAGTATTGAGCTGATTTAGGCACACGTTCTTAGTGAAACGAACGGGGACCCTAAAAATGCGAAAAATTGTGCATGTTAATTTTATTTTATTTTTGAGTTCAGATTAGCAAATGTATTTTTATTTCTTACAACACAATTATTATAGTGACAATATCTTATGTTGGTGTTTTGTATGTTGTGTTGTGTTGCCCGATTGGTCCGTGATAGTGGGCTTGGCTGGGCCCGAAAAAGTTGGGAGTTTGGGGGGGGGGGGGGGGTGCAGGGAGTAAAAGATAGTCTGGCAGCAAGGGGGGGGGAGCATTAGGAAATAGTGTTCGCCCAGTAAAAGAAGGGCATGTTGTGGGGGCGATCAGCCAAATTGTACTGTAGTTACGGAATTTGTTTTTAGTCTGGTGGTGTAAATCGATGTTGTGCGGACAGTCGTAGGTGGGTGGCTGACCAGACAGGAAAGAGTTTTTTTGTTGTTTTGGGGTTGTGGTGGGGGGGGGGCACATATGAGGTACATTTAGAAGGAGGAAGAAAGTGTTTTGATGCAAAAGGAGGTCAAAATTTGTTGGGGTGGAGGTGGGCAGGGGGGTGGGGAGCGGTTGTTCTTTCTCTCTTTAGTAGTGGAGGGGTGTGGGTTTTGTTTATGCCGCTGAGCGGTGTTACTTCGCGAGGGGTGTTTGGTGTATGGGCGTCGGGCATTCAGTGGACATCAGCTGTTGTGTAGGATGGACTCTTTTGTTGTGTTGGTTTTTTGTTTTTTGTAGGGTGGTCTTTGTTGCTCTTTTTGGTTTTTTTTAATCGATTGGGGCGAAGGCTCGGCGCTGATTAGTGTTTGGAGAGGATTAGCAAGGAACAGTTGGGCCAAATGCTTGGGGGCACCGGTGGCATGGTGGGGGTCGCCAGGGTTCGTGTGCGGCGTTGTGGTGGTACTGATTCATAGATGACATTGTGTTGGGTGGGGTTGGCATGGTTTTTTTTTATTTTGATGTGGGGTGAGGTATTGAGACAGGTGGTTGTCGCTTGGGGGTAGGCCCCGTGAAAAGACCAAAAGGTCGTTGGTCGCTTTGTGTGCTTGGGTCGGGGGTTTTGGGGCTGCTCTGAACACTCACTCTGCTCAGGGGGATATATTGATAGCCGCGATGAGGGGAACTTTAATTTTCGCTTGTTGTTAGTTCCTCGTGGTCCATTGGTCAGGTAGTTCTGTAGCTTCTCTGTGTTTGGTGGTTCTACAAGGGGGGGATTGGCTCTCTGGACTTGTAGTAGAGTTTTGTGGTGGTGTTTTTTTTTTGGGGTGTGTTTGTTTGGATGTTCGTGGTTTTGTTTTTGTTTTTTGGTGTTGTGGTTGTTTGTTGGGGTCCTTGTTGTTTTGTTGGTTGTTGTTGTTGTTTTCTGGTTATGTTTTGTGGTTTTTGTTGTCTGGTGTTGATTTGGTTGGTCTTTTGTGGTTTTGCTGTTTTTTTTGTTCTGTCGTCTTGTGGGGTGTTTTTTTGTGGTGAGGTTTGGTGTGGGTTGGGTTTTTTTTGTTTTCATGGGATAGGGAACTATTCGTTCAGGGAGGGGAAGTTATTTTTTCCTTGTTGTTTTGTGGTGGGGTGTTGTTTTTTTGTTGTGTTGGGGGATGTGGTTTTAGTTGTTTGTTCTTTGTTTGTGGTTTGGATTATTTTTTTTTTTTTTTTTTTTTTTGTTTATTTTATTTCTTAGCAGTTTATTGTTTTGGGTTGTTATTTAATGCTATTTTTTAAGTATAGTGCATGTGTTGGGTTGGGTTTTTGCGTTTTTTTTATTTATGGTGGGTGATTTTTAAGGTTATGTCTGCGAGGAGGTTGTTGGTTGTTGTAATTAAAAAACGTTTGTTTTGTTTTGTAGCTTTTTTGTCTCTTTTTTGGATGTTTTTTCTTATTTTAAGTTTTTTTTGAGTGGGTGTTTTGTGTTTGCTGCGTGTGGGTTTTGGGGGTGGGTTTGGAGGTCCGTGGTGAGTTGTGTTTGTTGGGTTTTGGTGGCTGAGTGTGGGTTTGCTGGAGTTGTTGGTGTTTCGGGGTGGGTGTGTGTTGATGGGCGGAGGTGTTTTTGGTTGGTGGTTGGGGGGGGTGGTGTGGCGGGGGGGGGGGGGGTTTTGGGGGGGTGCACCCAGCAGCAGCGGGGAGGTGGGGTTTGGATGGTTGGGGTGTGGGACGAGAGCCACCGACTGGGGGGCCAGAACGGGACGCGGACAGACGGGCGAGCCAGATGGGGTGGTTTGCCATATTTTGGTGTGTGTTCAGGCTGTGGTGTTTTATGTTCTGGTGGGTTTTGGTTAGTTATCGAGTATTTTAGGTGGTGTGGGGGTTTTTTTGGGGGGTTGTGGTTGGGGTGTGGTGTGGTGTTGGGGGTATGATTTTTGGTGCTAGGTTGTTTGGGTTTGTGGGTGGGGTCTGTGATTTTTGTGTGTGTTTTGTGTGGTTGGTTTGAGTGGTTTGGTTGGTGGGTTGGGCGGGTGTGGGGGGGGTGTCTATTTTTCTTGTGGAGTTGTGAGGTTTGTGATGTTCTGGGTGCTATTGAGCTGTGTGGTTTGGTCTTTATTTTTTTTTTGTTT